ACTATGTAGTGAAAATGTAATATCCATTGGATTTGAAAGTTTTCTAGACTACTATCAACCAAGTCCCAAATAAAAGTAGGTGATAGTTAAGTATTAGATTAGGTAAAATAGGGCCAAATTTAATGTATTTCCATCAAGTGTCAGGCCTGCATATGAGTAAGATTTTAAAAATAGTGGCATGAATTAGCATGTCCAAAACCAGAATTTTAATCTCAATCTTCACACAAAATCTCAGAATTGACTGTTTATGTCAAAATTATGTAAACGTAACCATTATCAATCACTACGTAGGGCATGGAAGCCTTCTCTTTGGTCAGTGAAAACCTGGCCCCAGAAATTGTTTAAGTATTTCTGATTTTAATCTGCATTAGTTTTGAAAAATGTGAAGGCTACTGGAGATATTTTCCATGTGATATATTAAAAGAGGGCTTGATAGCACTACACAGGTAACCTCCATCAGGGTTAATCGAATGTGTAGGGCAAGCCTTTTCTCTGCATCAATTGAAAGATCTCTCTCTTCTATGGATTAAAAGTACCTCTGACATACATATTTCCCTGTGTATCCAAATCATTCACAAGGAATACTTTCTGGAGTAAGTCAGTTTAGAAAAAAGAAATGTTCATTCTTCGAAAGTGTGATTAGTTGAATAATCCCAGGAAGAGGGATCAATATTAGTTCCATTATTGCTCATGTTAGCTCTTCCTTGGTTGGGGCTCTGTCACCCACTTTATTTTTATATCCCTTCTTACACTCTCTTGTACAACACAAGATTGTTTTAAGAACTGCTTGAATCTCCCTAGCTGCTCCATGCAACCTGGGTTGGGTATTAGAGTGACTCTAAAAGAGAGGCAAAAAGTAGAAACAACACCAAATGGTATGTGAGGGATATATATTTGAGGAGCTAAAAATACATCTGAGAAACCCTCCAGGAATACTAATTATTTTGTGATCTTCTATTACTGTCATTAGTTTAAAAATCTCCCTCAATCCAATCACTATGAAAGTTGCTAAGTACATCGCTATTAATGGATGGATGTGTTTCATCTTAACTTCTTTCTGCTCTCTGCCTTCTGGGGGAAGTGCTTGCTGTCTGTCGAGATTTGATCAAAGAGATTCAACAAAAACGAAAGGAAAAAACAAACAGGTACTCCTAGGTAGATAGCACCAAGATAAAATCCTTATGGTTGTTAAACAGGGCATGCCTAAGAATAAGTGTGTTTGGATGTTATTTTTATTTTCAAAGAAAGAAATGCTAGAGGAAGTAGTAAAGGGGTCAGAGAGAAGAAATGGAAAGAAAATCTATCAATTTCTCTATATTTCAAAGTTCGGTCCCATAGTCACAAATGTAAATTTACTAAAGATGCAAATTTTTATTTGGCTTCCATAATCTTATGAGAAAATCCCATTTCCTAGTGGTTATTTCAGCACTCTCCAGCTTATATTGTTTTTGTTGGATCTCAGGAGGTAATGAAATGGGACTTTACTGTATAATTTAACATCAATGTAGTTGGGAAGGAAGTGGTCTAGATGCAAAAATTAGATTGGAAATATTACATTGGACATTTCTTTTGTGGGGAACTAAATCAAATATTTATAAATTAGGAGTTAAAATACTGGCCCACCTTTAGAAAGTGAAATAGTCATTTTCTTCTGAATATTTTCTATTCATGCAGATGGGTTCATTATGATTTTATTGTGTACAGATTTTACTTGTGAGTCATAGAAGGATCTAGTTCCCAGGAAAAGAAGGAAATAGGAAAATAATTCTTTTTGTTCAAGAAACATAGGCTTTTGTCAGTATAATATTTATTTATATGAAATAATAGATTTGAAATAATTGAACAGACTTTATTTTTGTTGTTTAAGGGAATGAAGTTAGAGATATAAAAAATGTTCTCCAATTTTTAACATTATTAGGTATTTCTAGTAAAACTAATTTGGCCACTAAATTCTAACTGAGATTTTATTCTGTGCCTTCTCACATAATTTACAATCTTTTTTCTTTTTCTTTCTTTTTTCATTTTAATTTTTACAACTTTTCTAGAGAAACTATGTAGTGAAAATGTAATATCCATTGGATTTGAAAGTTTTCTAGACTACTATCAACCAAGTCCCAAATAAAAGTAGGTGATAGTTAAGTATTAGATTAGGTAAAATAGGGCCAAATTTAATGTATTTCCATCAAGTGTCAGGCCTGCATATGAGTAAGATTTTAAAAATAGTGGCATGAATTAGCATGTCCAAAACCAGAATTTTAATCTCAATCTTCACACAAAATCTCAGAAAATATTGTTTATGTCAAAATTATGTAAACGTAACCATTATCAATCACTACGTAGGGCATGGAAGCCTTCTCTTTGGTCAGTGAAAACCTGGCCCCAGAAATTGTTTAAGTATTTCTGATTTTAATCTGCATTAGTTTTGAAAAATGTGAAGGCTACTGGAGATATTTTCCATGTGATATATTAAAAGAGGGCTTGATAGCACTACACAGGTAACCTCCATCAGGGTTAATCGAATGTGTAGGGCAAGCCTTTTCTCTGCATCAATTGAAAGATCTCTCTCTTCTATGGATTAAAAGTACCTCTGACATACATATTTCCCTGTGTATCCAAATCATTCACAAGGAATACTTTCTGGAGTAAGTCAGTTTAGAAAAAAGAAATGTTCATTCTTCGAAAGTGTGATTAGTTGAATAATCCCAGGAAGAGGGATCAATATTAGTTCCATTATTGCTCATGTTAGCTCTTCCTTGGTTGGGGCTCTGTCACCCACTTTATTTTTATATCCCTTCTTACACTCTCTTGTACAACACAAGATTGTTTTAAGAACTGCTTGAATCTCCCTAGCTGCTCCATATTATTCAATGGCTGGCACTGGATTTCTCTTCTCTGCTTTTGTATTAGATAAAACACTTCTGCAGCCACTCAAAAAGCAAATGGGCTTAGTTTGAGGTCATTCAGGTTTGGGCCTGTTCAAATTCAATAGCAAATGGCAATATATATTGACAACCTGGAGAGCTGTGTAACTTGTGAATCTGAGATCTGGAAAAACCTCTGGCTTATTATGGACGTTGCTATGGCGATGACTTTCTATGTGTAGGGTTGCAGGGGAGGGAGACTACTTGGGAGAACATGCTGGTAATCTTTCAGAATGGCCAAGCGTCAATTTTTACGACTTTAAATTTGAAGATCTGATAAATACTACAACATATACAAATATTACTGTTAAGAAAGGAAGAAATCAAGAGAAAGGATAAACAGGGAATCCTAATTAAAGTCTCAGTATCTTAAACCATTGGCTACAACATCAGTTAACATATTTCTTGGGAATTACATTATATTCATATCTGAATCTCCAACATCTAGTACATGCTTAACATATCCATTTGACCCTTAAAAATATTTGTTGAACTGAATTCTATTGAGGAGGCAATTTAAATAGCAAAGCTCTTTATTCTGTTTTATGAAAGCTCATTTATGAGTAGAAAAAAAATAGGAAGGATTTAAATCTTGAGATATATTGTATTCGGCTTGAGTGCTCAGATATTTACTGAATGAATGAGTGGATGGGTGGATGAATTAATTAATGAATGAAAACTTGGTGTCCTAATTCTGATATTAGACTAGTATCTGTCCTTTGGAGTTAAAACTTTATCTAGCACATAAAGATTATCACCCCGTAATTTAAAAAATATGACTAACTAGGTCACATTTCTTTCCACACCACTGAGTTCCCAAAGGAAGCAAGTACACTTCAGAATGGACAGTCCCAGGGTTATTATTGATATGTACCTATGTAATGCTAAAGAACACAGAACTTCCTGGATCCAAAGCCATTTGCAAGAAACTAAAATTTGAAATTCCATAAATCATTTGTGGGTAAGAAATGGAAGGATTTTATTTTTATATTACTTTTTATAAAGCTTAAATTTCTCTAGGAATAAGCAAAAACATGTTTAATGACTTGCCTTTTCTTAAAGAAAAGGGGAAAAAAATTAAAGCAACCCAGAGAATCAACTAGAAAATTGTATTTAAATCTTTTAGTCTTAATAGAAATAAGATCCTAACCCAACTCTAGCTTTTAGTTCTATTAAACATACACAGAAATTCGATGATATCTGTTCTCTATTATATACATATAAATGTTTAACTTATAGTAAGTCTCAAACAAACGACTTGGGAAAGTTGATAGAAATAATTAAGGACTACAGTTGTCTGTTGGACATTATACCGTACACATCTCACTATAAAGAAAAGACCATAAAACATCAAAATGTATCTGGGTTCAGATGGGGAACACATTAAAGCTTCTAATTGCCAAAGTCCTTCCCACTTCAGCACAGTAGATACATTTTGAAGCATCACAGCCATTGACATGGCATGGTTCAGTACTAATTTTGTGTTTACTACACTATATTGCTACACGAGTTCTCTAGACACACAACGAACAAAATTAGTATAAATATAATACCATGTTAACTGCTGTTGAAATCCCATGGAAAACGTTTTGGTTTTTACTTTGTTTTGTTTTGTTTTGCCATTTAAGCACACGACAGTGCATGAAGTTTAAGGGATAATTACCAATCTTTGTGGTTCCACGTTGAGTTCATGCTTTTTTGAGGTCATTTCAATATAGGCCTCGTCAATGTTCCCACCCCCTGCCAATTTCATAGCTCCCACTGGCTGTTTCACATTTGCTCTTCGGGTGGTAAATCTGGGCATCTGATTGTCTGAGTTTGGGTCACATACCGTGGATTTTCCTTTAATGTCAAAAGACCGACTTTAAATTTCTCTGGGGTCTGACTGCCTCATCCATGGGATTTGATGCTTTTGTTTGTATATTAATATTTATATATGTATGCTTATACATATATAGATATAGAAAACTCACACACATTAACACACTATATTATATATTTAAAACACATGTATAATTACACATAGGTATGTATTGTTTTTTGCAAATGAAAAAAGAAAGCAAGCGAAACAAGACTGACCTGACCTACCTGTACTCGGCTCACATTCAACGAAGTCTTCATCATCACTTGAACATTCAGCAGATGAAACAAGGTCATCTGATGTTGGCTGTTCATGTCAAAGAAGAAACAATACGGTGGGGAAAGAGAAAAAAAAAGGCAGAGATGAGGGAACCATGAATAAAGTTGTCAAAGATTTATTACTGTGTCCCACCTCTCATCATTATTACTATTTCTTTTCCTTCAAGAGGGCATATCACAGATGCCTCTCTTAAGAGGCATGGTATTAACTATGCAACTGTGAATGACTCTGGTTCTAAACATTTTTTGTGGATTTTCTGTAAAGCTGAGTGACCCAAGGTGTTTCCAGAAGGTTTGACCCTTTCCTACTTCTGCAAATCGCATTGTGCAGCTTGGCTGTATCCTGACTCTAATTTCAGTTTTGAGAATCAAAATGATGGAAGAAGGGTCATTGCAAAGGGTGGTAGAATGCAGACAACACAGGAATGCACTGTGGCTTTGAGAGGGTTTTAATGCATATGGTGTGTGGTCTCAAGTGTGTGATTTGGTGGTTGTGAATCTATAGGCTGGCATAATTAATGAACACTGTGGAATGCAGTCTGCTCAGGAACAGCATAATGGCTTCTCTTGCTAGCAGCAATTCCTTCATGTAATTGCTGCAATTAGCTGAATTAGTAATGTGAGCCAGCAGAGTAATACTGCACGACAGCCTCTGGACACAGGTAAGGTTGTTTCTGCAGAGAGCAGAACAAATTTTGACTGCTATAGTAGTAGTTCAACTCGAGACCTTCTTAAAATTATTAGTAGTAATAGTCCTGCAGAAACTCCTCAATGCCAAGGAATCTGTTGTAAACAATATAGGGAACTGTGGGTATTGGCCACATAGTAGCTGAGAAAACTGCCTCTGTACTGGATACATTTTGCATGTACAATATAAAGTACTGAATACATTTTGCATGCATAATAAAAAGTGCTGAATAGATGAGTGAATAAATGAATCTACAGAGTTTATCAAAAATGAACTTCTCGCCTATGTGCATAAGGATATTCATTATATTGCAGTTGTTCAAGAAGTACTCACTTCTTTCCTTTCCTTGATGTTACTTTGAACTGACCTGCTGCTAGTCTTACTAGTCCCATTGCACTGAAGTGTGGATCCATATTCAAAAGGAAAAAGCGATAAAAAAAATTGGGTTTCTACTGAGCAATTACTACAAGCAGATTCTGTGCTAGATAGGTCTGTATACTTATCAGTTATGATTATTATTAATTAATTAGACACAATTCTCACGACCACCCTTTGGGACAAGTATGACTGCTACATGTTTTAAGAGAATTGAACTCAGACTAAGTGAGTTATGGAAGGACATGTAGCTAGTAAGAGACAGTAAGGATTGTAACAGATGACATCTTAGAGTTTGCGGTCCAAATAGGCTTCCCTGTACCTCATTTTACATGATATGGGCTAAACTGTGTCCCTCTAAAACTCATATAGAATGTGCTAATTCCTGGTACTTAAGAATGTGACTGGTTTTGGAGATAGGATTTTAAAAAGGTACTTGAGTGAAAATGAAGTTATTGGGATGGGCCTTTATTCAGTATGAGGTATCCCCAGGCATGCCCACCTGAGACACAGGAAGAAAATGGCCACCCACATGCCAAAGAGATGGTCCTTAGAAGAAACCAACCTGCTGGCACCTTGATTTCAGTGTTCTAGTCTCCAAATTGTGAGGAATAAATTTCTGTTGTTTAAGCCACCTATAAGTAGTACTTTGTCATAACAGCCCTAGCAAACAAATACACCTTTATAGCCAAAATGATCTTTAGCATTTCTAGAAAACATCTTATTTTCGGTAGACATGCTAGGTATAAGATTACTAGACAAAGTAAAGAACAGTAGAAATACCACATTAGGTTATTTGTTTTACTCAATCCACAGTGGCCCAGAAATGCCCTAAGCCACATTATTGATCTCTATCTACATCTGAAAGGGAGGTGCTTCCAACTGTGTTCCTCCTTAAGGTTATAAGGAAAAAAAAAAAATCAAGTTTCAACGTATATTTTTATTTAATTAAATACTGTTACATTGTGTGTTTTAGCCCCAGAGACAAGAGGCTGGTAGTTTTGTCCTAGGATCCCATTATCTGCATTAGAGAAATGGAAAACCAATTCCTTTGGCATTTCCTGCTGTGCTGAGGTCTTAAACAAATTCTCTTCTGGTTACTTAGGAAAGAGGGTGGGAGAGAATATTAACTGGACAAATGAAGATGGTTTGGAAAGGCCATGGTCATAGCTCGATAGTTCTAAAGCATGCATTCTCTGCAGGGGCACTATCTCCCTAAAGACGGCAAAAATTGGTTTGGGCTAGGGGCCAGCAGGTGGTGTGGTGGTTAAGGGCCCTGGACTCCCACATGGCCGACCACAGTTTGAGTACCCGTCCTGGTGGCTTCATTTCTCTTTTTCTCTTCCTCTCTCTCTCTATCCCTTTCTAGTAAAACTAAAACTAAATAAATAAATAAACTTAAATAAAATAATTCTTTAAAAAATTGGTTTAGGTTGGGGGGAAGTCTTAGCTATTATATTGTGTTGTAGGAAAAGTCACAGCACATTTTTGCATAGAAAAATATGTCGTATATGCAAAAATGTGTTGTGATTTTTCCAATGACCTAATACTATTAATAGTTTGAGACCCTCTAAAAGACCACATTACATAAGTAAATATACAGTATATATTTGGTACTGAAATTTTATGAGAGAAGGGCAATTAGGAAAAAAAAATGTCTAAAGTATTTCTTAGGGGGATGGTAATGAAAAAGAGGTGGAGGGGAGCAGCAGTTAGCGTAAGGGCTATATTGCTGAGCTCCCATGTAGTCGACCTTGGTTCGAGTCCCAGACCCAGTGGCTTAAACTCACACCGGGCACATGTACAAGCGTGCCCAAGATCCCCAGAGGAGAATGGAGGAGAAGGGATTGCAGGGTGGCCATTCCCCCGGGGGGTGATTTCTCGCTTTCTGTCTCTCTTTCTCTCTCTTGTCTTTCTAGTGAGTGCACACGCCCTATAGCAAAAAACTCTCACAAAAAAAAGAAAAAGAAAAAAAAAAAGAAAGAAAAAGCAAAGCAAAGAAAAGAATATTCTGCTGGAAATTAATTATTAGTGACCTGACTATAAGGACTTGCAGGGCTTTGGGCTGGTGTTGGGTGAACAACAGTAAGTTAATGAAACCTAGTTTGCTCCTCTCAAGAGCTGAAAGCCAGGCAGGCAATAATGTTCAAAAGGCCATTGAGCAAATGTATGAAAACAATGTATAACTCCAAGAGAAACCCAGACATGCACAAATGTAACATTAGAGGAATCTTTCACTCATTTCTAAGGGAGACATCCTATTAATAATTTGTATGGGCCAAAAGCAGTAGTGTACATTTTAATGTTGTCAGGAAAGGCAGTATGCTCTGGGGAATATTTACTGCTTTCTTTTAGCTCCCTTTATTCTTCCCTATCAAATTTCTCTTTTTGTGGTTTGGGTGTCTGTGTCTTCCCCCTCACCTCCAATTCTGTCCCAAGAATGGGTCCCTAACACTAATGCAGGCCCACCATCCGCTCACACACACACACACACACACACACACACACACACATGCTCTTCCAACTTCTACCTTTCTTTTCTTCTGAATTTCCCCGGTGCCTACTTCCCAGAGATTTTTTTTCTGCTAATTTTCTATAGGAATGTGTACATATGCAACGTTCCTCCCAGGCAACAGAAACAATTTCCCTAGTAGTTCCTGTAACAGTGCGGAGACAGAGAAGAGGATGAGTGGGAAGCATCAGGCGGAATGTGTGAAGGTGGACCTGACCCCAGAACAGAGCCATGAATCTCAACTTCACCACTTACGGTCCAAAGTGACCTGGGGTGGGGAACCAGCAGTTAGCGTAATGGCTATGTCGCTGGACTCCCACGTAGTCGACCGCGGTTCGGGTCCGGACCCAGTGGCTTAAAACTCACGCTGGGCGCATGTGCGTGCGTGCGTGCCCAAGATCCCGAGAGGAGAATGGAGGAGAAGGGATTACGGCGTGACCATCCCCCCTGGGGGGTGATTTCTCGCTTTCTGTCTCTATGTCTCTCTCTGTCTGTCTGGCAAGCGCACGCGCCCTACAGTGAA